AAAAATTTTTACTTGAATGTATCTATATACAATAAAAATTAAAATAGTATTGTCTCATTTTGTTCATTGCGAAACTTGTGTACAATATAGTTTTGAATTTCAATTGGCAGTTGAATTAAAGTAAATTTTAACTTTCTAGATTTTCATTTTCTATGATAAAAAATATCAAATTTAATGTTTTTAGAATGATATTTTGGTATCCAGGACTAGAATTTTATGATTTCTATAATTAGGTGTTAAGACTGAAGTAAATTTACTTAAGTTACATATAATATGACATTACAATTATAATTCATTTATAGGAAAATGTACAAGTTAGAATATTTTTAACAAAAATTATATCGACAAACACATTTTACCACTTACTTTACATAAACTTTTTTACTTATATTTTTCTACCACTTAGGAATCTTATTTTTAAAAAGTTTCATATTTTCTCGTAATTAATATAAAAAAATATCTTCCACTAAATCCATTAAAACTTTTGAAGAAGACATTTTATTTGTTTTTAATGCACTACATATAAATTAAGTAGGTATATGAGTAAAAAAGTATCTTATATAAAGGTATTGTATATCTAGACTATATAAAGGTATATAGTCTATATTAGACAAAAGAATAAAATAGCCGCCTCTGTTTAAGAATCTATAGTATATTTAACATAACCTCTTACGCTTGCGTCACAAGTAATGTATAACAGTTAACAAAAAATTCGGTTAAAGTGTTAGGTCAAGAATCCAACTCAACTTCAAAATCAGATCAAAATGCCGTCACCCATGAGACCTCTGCTCATAAAAGCTACAGTATATTTACCACAAATTCAATGAATTTTAAAAAAAATTTCCGACATATTGGATCCACCATTTTGAATTTTTAAAAACGGATTTCAAATTCGTAATCTATTATTTATTTTTATATGCTTGCCGGTATTTTTTATTTTACAATTTTTATCATTTTTTTTTATTTATTAATATCTTTCTTAGTTTAAAAATAAAATTCTTATTATAGTTTAAAATAAAATTGTTTGATTTTTTTAATAATTTACAGAGCACACTTTGCTAAAAAATCAGCAAAGAACCAGATGAAAATTAAGTTAAGGGCCAATCCCATGACGGCGTAAAAACGTCGAAGCGTCGGCGTTAAAGTATGTGAGTGAGCGAAACAGTGATATAAGGTTGTTGCTTTCACTCTCATATGTTTACGCTTGGAGGTTTTTACGCCAACATGGGACTGGCCCTTTAATCCTGTAGTTAGTTTACATGATTTCTACACAGTTTTCATTTTGGTCTTTTAATACTATTTTCAATTGAATCTTATGTACAATTTGTACGTAGTTTTTACCCTGATTGTATAGGGGCCATTTAAATATTACGTAAACATATGTTTAAGGTTCGGTCTCAGCTCGGCTGCCTGTATGCAGGTCGTCATGACAACACACAAGAGTGAGAGGGTCAGACAACTCAAATTGTTTGTTTCCTCTCCCTCAATCTCGTGACCTGTAACCTTGCTATTAGGTTTTTGATAACTTCCCTCCCCCAAATAAGCACTGGTAAGATTTTTATAGCCTCCCCTTCTATATTTTATGAGATTTTTTATACACCTCCTGTTTCCTAAAGATAATTTTGAACATGTAAAATGTCGACAAATTTTTATGAAGCTTTATTTATAATAATATAATTTTTCATTTTTGCAAATACATACTGTTTGTTGCCAATAACTACTAGACAAATAGTTTCTATCGTCCTCTCTTCTTTCCTTGTCTAATAATTTCATGTAATGTTTAAACGTTATTAGACAAAGAAAGAAAAGAGGACGAGCAAGAGGAAATTCAGTTGAGAAATCATGATTTCCTTGTTTTAGCATTAAGGAAATATTTAATAAATTAAGGCAATCTATATATATCGCGGGAAATCTCAATCGAAATCTTAGTAGAAATTTCGGGAAGTCTTAACAGAAATCGATACTGAACAGTAGTTGGCTTAACAGCCGATAACTGCCGTACGAACCCGAGCTAGCAATTAAAATTTATTAAAAATTTATAAATATGAGAAATCGATTTTTACCGAGTTCGTCCGTAGCTACATTTCGATATTTTTTAAGTATGTAAGCAGTCACCGGAAGTCGAGCGGACAGTCCCTAGAAATCTCAGGTAATCGCGTAGAAATCTCAAGAAAGTTCAGAAGCTAATATGAGAATCTGACAACGACTACAGCTAATGATTTCTAAATATTCTCTATTATCGGACAAGCGTTATTCTATAGTTAATATTTTGAGTTAGAGTATTTGATTCAGTATACTGTTTAACTCAATCTTCAAGAACGAGATGCATGAGACAGAAAAGGACATAAATATATATCTGTCCTTTTCTAAGTCATGCTTTTCGTTCGCGACCGACGTTAGCAAAGCAGTTTGGAAGGTTAAGTACAGAATCTGAAGCGTACTCAAGTCAGAATCTGTACTAAACATCTCTCAGTGTGATTTGATGTACTTTTTCATTCTTTTCAATGTGGCTTTTATAATTTTGTGAAGTTAAATCAGAATAATAGATGTTTCTGAAATATTGATGGCTCCCGAAAAATACAAATTTTGAATTCTATTCAATTCTCCGCTTCTTACCTGTGGACAATGCCCACTAGGCATCCACTTTACTTCTACTATGTAGTCACTGGGATACGGGTCAACTCATCTCAAATCTTTCAGTTGCTGAGGACTCATTCAATTTTGCCTGGAGTACACTCGTTTCCAGGTATGAAAATAAAAGACTACTTATTGCAACTCATATGGATCAAATCATTGCAACAACGGTCATCTCACCCAAGTAGGTGAGATTATGGTCAACTCAAGGAATCAACTCTCTCTTGTCCTCAACAACGGAAGCATTGAATGCGCTCTCAACCCTCGGTATGCCAGTGGACCAATGGGACCAGGTAATTGTACATCAATTGATAAGGAGACTTGGCACTCACACCCGAGAATCCTGGGAGGTGAAACTCTGATCAAGGAAGGACCCCCCCCCCCCCCACCTATGCTCAACTCAAGGAGTTGCTTTAGAGAGCGGTAATTCTCATAACATTGTTAAATGTGAGAAATTCCGTGACAGGAATACTAAGGCTGGACGGGAATTTTTCGTTAAGGAGCACCTCTGTTTTAACTGCTTGGGAAGGCACATCGCTAATATTTGTCAAATTGACAAAAGGTGTCAAGAGCATGAAGGCAAACATCACACGATGATCCATCAAACCACTGCCCCTCACCTCAACAGGGATTCGAATCAAACCAAGGAAAAGAAGCAAGGTCTTTCTCAAAGTGCATCCAGCTGTTCTAAGGATCAGTGAAATGGGACGCAGCTTGACGACGGCGGTTCTCATACAAGGCCAGTGGTTCCCCTCGCCACTGCACGTGTTTCAATCACACTCAGATCTATCCATTTCTCTAAGTCCATCTTTTTTATAATGCATACGTCCTTTCAAAATTGTCGTCAACGCTTCCAACTGCTACACCTCCTCCTATCAAATTGTTTTCGCTTCAAAATATCCAACTTGCTGATCCTGATTACTCCATTTCAACCAAGGTTGACCTCATCATTGAGCAGACGTATATTCACAAATTATTCTACCTAAGATCATCAAAGAATCTTCAATAAAACCTATAGCTCAGCTCACGATCTTTGGTTGGATAATTTTGGATCAACAAAAGGTGATTCAATTAGGGAACATTATTTTCATAACATAATTGTTGATGATTTTTAAGAACTACTCACAAAATGTTGGATTCAAGAAGAAGTACGTATCAAGGAAAAGGACAATCTCACTCTTCAAAAGTTGGAATGCGAGGAGAATTGCAAGGCTCGGAATTTAACAAGGAATCTAAGGTTACATTTCTTTGCGCCAAAACCAAGGCTGCTTCTCTCAAACGCCTCACCATCCCAAGACATCCCAAGGCATGACTTATTTACAATTTGAGAACCAGTACCCAGCAAGAAGCAGGGAATAGAGAATAATTAAATTTTTAAAAAATTAGCTTTAAAACAATGATTTTTTAATTTATCTGAATAGGCAAATTTAACTCCCAATTGTATTTCAGGGTGAACATGAAAATTGACAAAAATCAATTCCACTCGACTTCTAGTATAAAGGAAGCCATTAAAAATAACTGAGACTTCCTATATTTTTGAATGCACATCATTTTATTAATTTCAATGTTCTATAAAAAATATGGAATTCTATTATTTTAAATTGACGACGGAAAATTTTGATAGTGAATTCAAATTATAAAGAATAACTATGATTTTTAAGCGACTTTTGTATGTTTCTACACGAAGAAAATTTATTCTTGAGATTTCACTGAATTGAAATTTCAACTGGGTGTTTAAAATTTCACCGAAAGTTCGGTAGAACGTAAGATATGTTATTCGGAAATACATATTTATATTTACTAAATAGTTCGGTAAAACGTTAGATAAGTGTTCGCTATATTTATATTTACTGAATAGTTTGGTAAAACTTTAAAAACAAAAATAAAAGATAATGCTAACGCAGTAGATTATGTTAATACTGCTGTAAATCTCAACTCACTTCAGTCATTGCTTAACCCTCTGTAATTCTATATGAACATACACAAATTTATACATTTTATAATGTAACATACATACCTTCCTACAGTACATTCTAAACGCATTCATACATCGCGCGCTTCACAGTGTTTAAGAAAGCTTAAACTGTTTTTATATATTAATCTGAATTTCATTTCACCGCTTGCAAGAAAAATTTAAATTAATTATTATTGTTGCACGAAATAAAAAATGATCTATATTAAGGAATGATTTTTAAATATTCTAACTATCAATCAAATATACTATGCATAAATAATACTATGCACATTTAATTATTAGATATTTGATAATTAATAAGTGTTTAAAATAATTAATTAAATTTTACTTTAATTAATAATTAAATATAATAAAATATATTGATTTATATGAATAACTATTTACTTGGGGGTTTTCGGGGTTGTTGATTACGAATCTAAAGTAAGCTTTTAAAAATTCAAAATGGCGGGTCTAATATGAGGGAATATTTTTTAAAAATTTATCGGAGTCGATTAATATTTCTTACTCCGAGGTTTTCAGGGTCGCTGATTACGAATCTGAATTTAGATTTTTAAAATTCCAAATTATTTCCTAGTAAATAGTTTCAACTGAATTTAAGAGATATTTCATGGTTTTACAAATTTCTTCTCACTCAATACTTTCAATAAAAATTTTTAAAAACAACGTTTTTTCCAACAAATTGTCTGCCCTAAAAGGAATATGCCAACTTTATTGAAAAATTCAGTAAAATGCAAAGGAATAAATTTTCTATGTGTAGGTAGACAATTTAAAGGAAGATAAGAGAAAGTTCAACGACTAAATTTAAAGTGTCTATTCCAACCAGTTGTCAGCGTCAAATTTTCAAAAGCGTTTTAAAAGGAAATATGGTTGAAAAACGCGTATTTCTCACGAGACTAAATAAAATTGTCTTACATTTAGTGGAAGAATTTTTCATGTATTCAATGTTTAACATAAGGTTATAAATCTAACCTTAATTTTTTGTACGACCTTATTTAACACAATAATTACTTATTTACATACTTTTATACAAGAAAGTAAAATCTTATTCTAAAGTGAAGAAGAAATGAGCATTAAATATGTATCTTCATTAAGTAGTGTCATAAAAATAGACAATTTTTAGCATTTTTAGTAACTAAAGCTGAAGATTCATATTATAACCAATCATGTTTTTAGAACGTATTATTATATATAGAATATATGTTTAGAATATATCCAATGAAATACAAATTTTTACTTGTTTCTCTAGTTTGTCGATTTCTTTCGAATGCACTTTTCTGACTGGTGACGAGTCAATTCATTGAAATAAATATTCCTTCAAATTTATTTTACTCCTTATTCTGTTGAATGCGCGTTTGAAAATTTTTAGGACAATTTAAAATTATAAATTTTGATATTTCTTTTGTTTCATTATAGAATAAAATTACGGAGTAAATTCGTGCATTCAAAAAAATGCAACTTTTAAATTCTTTACAATAATAGATGACATTTTAGCTTCGTTTAATGATGAATCTTCTGTGACTTTAAAATGATTAAATCCTACGCTAGGGTCGAGTTGGAATCTAACAGGTATTTATGAAAATAAGTTTTATATAATAAATAAAATATTTAAAAGGTTAAATTTATTTTAATCTATTGTTAATAATTTTCCAAAAAACCACAAATTTTACAATATTGCTCAGATAGTATTTCTAAGGGAAAAAAGTGAAATTTCTGGCTGTGACCTATGATGTCTTCTGAACCTTGACTTGTGCATTGGATGTTTTTAAGATGTCTGAAAGATATCTTTTTCTTCCAAACTTTGAAAATAGAAAAATTTTTATAAAGTAAAATATTATTTTCTAAGTTCAAGTAGGACTTAGAAAATGGTTAAAAATAAAAGTTTTTGGAATCCGGGTACACTAATAGTAATGTCTCGGAGTCATAAAAAATACAAGTAAAATACAATCTATGTATGGTTCAAAAGATGTTCAAAACACGTCTAAAATACGACTTTTGAACTTCTAAAAGACATAAATATCCAAAAGTTTTTTTTATTACCTTGATTAATTTTTCAGGTGGTGACTGAAGATTTTTTAACTTTACCAAAATAAGTACCACTTTAAAGTATAGGCTTCCAGCGGGGTTACAGTCAGAAATGTTCTCTAACAGCAACAGATATTACAGGAAATCCTACAGGCATCCTTGTCATATCCGGAAATTAGAATATCCTTAAAATATTCCAAGACGTCCCTGGGATATCCTAAGGATATAATTTATGAATATTCTCAAGAGGTCTGCAGAATATCCTGGTAGTGTTAGGGTTATTTTACTGCATATCATAACCAGTTTATGGAATATTTAAAAATGCACTCATTCTTTCCACCAGTAAATAAGAAAAAGTTTCGTTTACACCTCCACGGCCTTTCTTCTTTTTGTGAAGAAAATCTTTCATATGTACGATTAAAAACAAAATGTGAAACTTATTCAATTTCAGTTTTCATTAAAAATATTTCTCCTGTATGAGAAACACTGTTAGAAAAATAAGTATTAAATTTAAAATTTATGAAAACTAAATCTTAAAATATTGAAAAAATGAAAAAATTGTATCGGCTGGGAATCGAATCCTAATTAGCAGTAAACTTGGTTACGTAACGTTATAAAATTAATTAATATAAAATTGTAATTTATACAACTATTACAACAAAAATAACGTTATTGGAAAAATACAGTTACACTCGAAATCTGAATCAGTGAAAATTTCACTGATTCAGATTAATGAACCATTAAAAAAGTACTTTTCGGATGAAAATAGATTCGGGCGACCGTTTGCTTCCAGATATTCCAAAGAGCACTTCCAATTTAAAAATAAAAATTTTTAGAACGTAACTTTTTCTTACTTCTTGGTATTAATTAATATTTATTTTCTAATATGTTTTTTGTAGATGCTTTAAAAACAATAAATTTATTAAGCTACTCTGTCCTACAATATTATAACTGCGGTATATGACATTTTTATTAAAATTGATTTTAGAGATAAATCATATAAGGAAAATTTGCATTTTATGAACCTATAATTAATTAATGTTTACTTATAACAAAATATGGCAAGTGTATTTTTTAACACAGAATGCATAATAATTCAATTAAAATAGGCGAATAAGTTTTGCTAAAGAAAAATATTTACATTGTTTATAATCTATAACTAAACAAAAGTACTATTGTTAAATACCTTTTTCATTATCCTCTTTCAACTTAAACCACACATGCTGCACTTTTTCCGTTGCAGATAGAATTTATGCCTGCAACTTATTATTCAAAAGATACTGCCATCTTGAAAATATTTATTGAACTTTGATTTTTATTAAAAAGTTTTGTTTTTATGACAACCGAAATTCATAAAAATGACGTGCTTTTAAAGAACGTTAATGTAGTACAGATTGGCAACGATTTATTTTCTTTCAATATTTTTTAAAAATATATTTTAATATATGATTATTAAAGATAATATAATATAACGTCAATACTGAATATAAAAGAGAGAAAATTTAGTTAAACAAAACTTGCAACATTCCCAATAAAGTTTTTTGTTCAGAATAGAAAAAATAATTTTCGAAATAAATATAATAATACTTTAATTAATAGTACCCAGAATAATGATGATAACCGGATCGAGGTGGATGATAAGGTGCAGGATTTACAGAATAAGTTGAATTATATCCTGATAAGGGAGGAGGAGGTGGAGAAAGAATTCGGCTCTCAACAGCATCAGGTACCACGTGTGGTGTAGATGAACCAGGCGGTTGTGGACTTGCAATCATTCGAGAACCAGGTCCATGTAAATGATGAGTTCGCGAAAGACTTACATCCGCACTGTGTCTACCTCCGGGTGTTAAATCTAAACTTACTACCCTCAGAACGTCACTATGTGGATAAGGAGGCGGTGGTGGAGATAATGAATAATTTCCCGTTCGACTGAGGTCGACACTCTGACGCTCTGAAATATCATATAAATGAAGATGATGATACCTTGAATTTTGTACCTGTGAACCAAAGTTATGATGATATCCTCTAGCCGACATATCCAAACCCTGTAATTCTCCACTATTGAGAAGGATTGGTTCAAAATTTGAACGTTCTCTACCAAAATCTGAATCAAGTGTATCGTATTTATAGGTCGCTGACAAATCTAATTGTAATGATTTTTCTTTCACAGACAAACTTAAATTTTGAGCAACAGAATCTCCTTCATCACTTGACAAATTGTCTGTTGGCACTTGATGATGGTGATGATGATGTATGTCTTGGTAACGAGGATTTGGAGTTGTCGAAGGTGAGGTTAGATCGTCTTGTTGTATATGAATATAAGCATTTGGCGAACTGACACGAGGTAAATCTTCATGGTGTATATATTGCTCGATATTATGAGATCTAGTTACAGTCATGTATTCCATGGGTCGATGGACATGATAATCTACGTGTAAATGATTTGGAGGCGAGTGTCTATTTTCCGATGTTGGCGATGGAGATATAATATTATCTTGATGTTGAACATACGAATTGAGATGAGGATCGGGCGACCTTGACGGCAATGGCGATTGTAAATGATTTGATATTGAGTACAAATTTGTATCGCGATCAGTATCGTCGAGAATGGGACTAGAAACTGCACCAATATCTCGTTCAGCAGCGTCCAGTGCTGCTTCTACCAAAAGACTAGCACTTTCCGTACGTCTGTATATTCCCATTCCCAACTTATTCCCAGTCATGATATCCTGAGAAGGAGAAATAATTTCATCCTCATCCTCCTCTTCTTCTTCCTTTCGGTTATCTTCAAATTCATAAACATCGTGCGTGATAGTTGATTCGGATAAATGGGAGTTAGGCATATCTATTGTAATCGGTGGATTATATTCGCCCATCCATTTTTTGCTGCCTTTACTTTGTATTCTCGAGGTTCCATAAGGATCAATTTCCGGTCGAATATTCTCGAATGAAGACTCCATGGAATTTGGTATTGGCACTGATTGTTGAGGAGAGGATGTGACTTCACGATCTATTTTTAATGTAATATCACTATTTTCATTCGAAAATTCCACTGAGGTCGATTGAGAAATATTTTGGCTAGTTTCCATTTTTAAACTGTTCTCTGAAGTACACTCGTCCAATGAAGGTAAACTATTACTATTATCCTGAAATTAAAAAAATTATGTTAATATTAAGTTGCAATTTAAAGAAAAGTTGATAAATTTTTTAATATTGTTTTGAAGTATTTTATTGCGGAATTACACAATTAAATTATTTTAAATTGAAATGTACTGTTAAAATATAATTCATAAGTTAAATAATATTAGAAAGAATAACCGATGGTATATCACGTTCGGTAGTGTGACTCTGTGGCATACGATCGTCAAGGTTAAGTGGATTTGAATACGCTTAGTACTCGCCCAGCTGAAAAAAATCGTTTGGATTTTCCCATGGACTTTTCAGGTAATCTCCATATGGAGATTTGAAACTATCCACATGAAATCCGATGGATTGCCATGTGGATTTCCGCATGGATTTTTTTATATTTTTAATAAACAAAAAATATGAACGAAAACCTCTTTAAGATCGCAGAAAGTAGTGAGTGAGGCCCCTTTAGGGTATTAGAATTCGAATTTGATGTTTATTTCTGAAAATATTTAAAAATTGAAAAAATAGAAAATGTCCATGTGAATTATTTCAAATCTCCGCATGGATATCTGAGTAAATTTCCATGTGGAAAATCCAGACGGATTTTTTCAGTTGGGCGGATGGGTGACCGCGCAACGGCTGTCGCTATAGCCAGATGCTTTTTTACTACTTTAAAAAAATATCAAGTGAGAGGTTTTACGTCGAAGTATATAATGATGTGCACTGTCGATTATTGTTCAGTGCACACCATTAGTTTGAATTTTTTTGTTTAATCGGTAAATGATTATTCCAGTCTATTTTTATGATTTAATATTGAGAATAATTAGTCAATCCTTTGTGAGTTCTGTTGAATACTACAATACTGCAACCTCGCATAGCATAACATCGCTTAAACAATGTGATTTATTTGTATAGAAATGCTTTCTTTTTTTCTTTGATTAAATTTTTTTCTCAAATTGTCATTATTTTGAATTATCAACAATTTTGGACAACCTCTGTATGAGACCGAGTGACAAAAAAATTCTGACAATTCACACAAAAATTTGTTTTGTCTCTCACGTCTCATGTGAGACCAAACATTCACCCGGACCATCATGATTATTTTCACACTTCACACATCTAAATTTCCTATTACAATAATTGGTTATGTGGTCTATTTTTTGACAATTGTAACATTGCAGTGTTCGAGTATCGTGATATAAAATTCCATTTTAGTTTTCTATTATTTTTACTTGAAATAAATCTCGCGCAATCCTCATAGTGTAGTAGATTCATCCCACTTCTGAATTGTTAAAGATTTAAAAGATTGGGGCTAAACCGGACGAGTCAAATCTTTCCGAAACCATGAACAATTTCAAATAATGTAAATAACCTGTGAACGCACTGTTACGTGATGTATATGCGGCATAAGGTTTTAGGGACATTTCATTTTTCTAGTAAGAAACCCGGATTTATCTGTGCGCAAACCCGAAGCTACGAGATTAGCTCGTACTTTCAATCGTATGAATGTCAGTGCCTTTTTTAGAAAATTAAAATTGCTTATAGAGAAACATCATTTTTCTCCTCAAAACATCTACAATACGGACGAGACTAGTCACTTTAGCAGTGGCTGTATCAGCAACTGGCAATTTAATTCCACGCTTCTTTGAATTTCCCCGTAAAAAATTCAAAAACACCTTTCGCATTGGAGGATCAGTGGGCTATGCTGTTGCTGGTAATCCCAGCGGTTGAATGAATGTGGAACAGTTTTTTGAATTTCTCGTTTTATTTCAATCTCACGCTCACGCTTCGTTGGAAAATCCAGAATTTTTAATACTGGATAATTATGAGTTTAATTTATCTATTCAGGGATTGAATTATTGCAAAGAAAATGAAATTATCGTTCTATCATTACCGCCACACATTGCTCACATAATCTACAACGCATTAGACCGAAAGTGTAGTTTTCTAAAATCAAACAACTGTGATTTGTATGTGAAGGAACAAGTTTCAAAACGGTATATTACTCTTCAGCAAAAAATAATTCTAGTAAAAAATGGTTTACCTGAGAACTGGTTCTATTTATTCTTGGCGACTTTGCTCCTTCATTGTCTTCTATTATACCACCACTGTACGCATCAAAAGTGTATGCTACTGATCGTTCAATTTTAGGCATCATTTCTTCCGTAAGACCATGAACTTTCTTGTAGTGAAATTGTAAACACTGTTTTGTAGTGAAGGCAGCTTTACAACTACTTTCTTTACATCTGCAAAATAACCCAAAAATTAAACACCATTTTCTGTATTTACTTTATTTTGTATATAATAATAATAATTTAAAAGTATTTAGCAGAGCAAACTTGTTATCCACTCAATGGACAAGATAAACAAAACAAACCGGTATACATAACCTATTTTTCAGCATGGGTACATTTTATTTAAGTTTTTTATTTTTTAAACATTAAAGGTATACTTATAAATAAAAAAAATACTCCATTCGAAACTTAAATCATTTATCAAAAAATATTTTTTTATTTCAGAAAAAAATTATTTTTTGTAATCTCTCAAATAAGCTAATGTTTATTTGGAACCCCAGTGGTATTTTCTTTACTATCTCTGACTTTACCGACTAGGCGTGACATCACGTTAGACATAGTACTATAAGTTAAAGAAATCGTCTACATCTTTTCGTACTGTGAAAGTTGCTCTCATTTTTATGCGAGTTACCTTTTCTAAAAACTATAATAATTATACTTACTTAAATGGCTTTACTCCACTGTGAGTCAGCATGTGAATTTTTAAGTTACTTTTATTTTGAAACATTTTTCCACATCGATCACAAGTTGCTGCTCCTACAACATCTTTGTGATGAACTTCTTTCATGTGACGTTGAAGAGCAGCACGAGATCCTAGCAATTTCAAACATATTTTGCACTGAAATTCTCTAAGTACTTCAGACATATCTGAAATAATTATTTTTCGTTATAAATAACTTATATTAATGAAAGCCCAACTAAAAATATTCGCCCAGATTTTCGAGTAAAAATATGAAACAATTCGCAGATTTCCGTTTGAACTTTAATTATGCAACTCTAAATGAACGTCAAATATTATCTTTAAAAACGCGAAAAATAGTGAGTCAACCCCTCTATAGACATGCTGAAGTAAATTATAAGGAATATTATCTTTTATAAATTACTTAATTATTTTAATCACTCAGACGTATTTATCAATTTTAATAAATGGAGGTGCTTTCTTAGTAATCTTATTTTTTTAATGTAATATATACATCGAGTGTTATTTTTCAAATACCTGTAAAGGGTTAAAAGATAAAAAACATTTTCCTGTAAATTTCTGTCATAATTGTTTCAAATCTCCATACGGATTTCCGGCCTGAAGATCTGAGCAGATTTTAAAAGCTGGAAGTAGACAAATATTAACAATTAGAGTTGCCACAAGACTCGAAGCGAGAAAAGATGGTAAAGGCAAGATGAATCATATATCTCGTCTCAGTAATTCAAGATGAAACGAGTTAAGCAATATACATCCAATTTTAGTGCTTCCTGATAAAAATTTCATTTTACGAACCGGAACCCTGCCTAAAATTGTAATGCAATGTGAAACATAAAAGAATTGAACCGACAGATTAGCTCAGTCGGATAGATGCCTCGCTTGGCGGTCGTTTAAGGACCAAGGGTAAGTACCCTTGGTTCGCGCCCACTTGGCTTGGTATTTTTCCGGCACGTGAGACAATCTGAGCGGGAGGTTTGACGTCGAGGTATAATGATGTGCACCGTCGATTATTGTCCGGTACACACCATTAGAACTCGACTGTCGATAAACCGGTTGTACTCAGGAGAGGTTTTCTACAGTTTCCCTCTCCACTGGCGAGAAAACCCATTAGACGGGTGGTCCAGGCAAATGCGAGTACTCCTAATTTTCAAGTCGCTCTGTAGGCACAAAATTTAGTATAAGGTTATATAGTACAAAAAAATTTGTAAGAGAAAATTGTAGAGAAACACTTGTATAGCCAAGATTGTAGGCTTAAGACGAGTGTATAAACAAATAAATAAAAATAAAAGAATTAAAATTTTGACTAATTTATAATCTTTATGTTTTTGTCCAATTAGCGATAAACAAGACGTATCTGTAAAGTAAATCTAAAAATGAATATGTACTAAGTATTGAATGTATTTGAAACATTTTTATTAGGCCTAAGACAAATTCGAACAGTAATAGTTTATAAATTGAACAATAAAATTCCACATAAAACTTATATCTTTTGAAATATCGAAAAAAACGCAATTCTTTAATACGTTAAATAATGCATCGTAATATTAAACATTTTAATAATAAATAACAATTGGAATAATAATATAATAATCTTAATATTGAAGTGATAATAAAATAATAATAAGTTTAACGATAATGTTATTAAAAAACCTAATTATTAAAAAAAATATTACAAAACCGTACATGTATTAATGCCTAATTTTTGGACAATTTTTCAAAAATATTACGAGAATATTTTGAAGCAAGACGAAATTGTAAAAAACCTCGTTTTGTCCCGTCTTGTGGCAACACTGTCGAAAATTACAAATTTGAAATAAAACCAAGAATTACCATTATGCATTCTTTTTATGTGTACTTTCAACTTTTGTGGTTGACAAAATTTCCGTCCGCAAAAGTCACACAATGGTCGTGAACGTTGTGGATTCTGGGAACATCCATATGTCCTATGCATTTCAAGATAGTTTAATCTTAAAAAAAATTTCTTACAATACTGACATTGGTAGGCACCACGACCTGCATGAAGTTCAGCTGCATGTTTCATAATATTATCTTTGCCCAAAACAGCAGCGCCACATACCTTAGATTTAAAAAAAACATATTTTTTTAATTAAATATTATAATATTGAATTTAGGTGAAGTTCTGAAATAACCAAATCTTCAATATTTCAGAAATTTCATACACATTAATTATTAATTATTTTTTCCCTATGAGCGAAAATGTCGAACCAGTGAATGAATGTTACATCCTACAGTTTGCTTAGCAGATTTTTTTATTTTCCCTAGAGAACAGAATTTCGCAAAATCTGCTTTTAAGTCTCCGTACATACGTTTTAAGTTTTAAAAGACCTTCAGAACTTGATATGTTGCTACTATGACCTATATTAGTTATGTACATCATTCTGTTCTTAATTCACATGATTTCTCAGGTCTGATAGTTTAATGAAACAGTAAGGACAATGGTGAGTTGATGTAGCAGTTTGTTGACCATTTATCATTATTAAGAGTTTGAAATCCGACACAAATTTAAATTGATCAGATCAAATAAAATCTTGACATTCTCATAAGTTTCCTTTATTTGAGGAACTACATACTGTTAATAAATTTAGCCTATTAACGATTCTGGGGATTAAATGGTAGGATTTTTATAAAATAAATTCAGAAATGAACATTAAGGTGGCGCACCAATTTTTCAAATTACATTAGATATAAAAAACAATGAAGGCTCCGTATAGTCCAACTAGTAATATTTGAATGGTTTGACCAAGAATTTTTACTACTTTGCCGATGCGGATCCAGGGGGGTGGTTTGCAGGTCATGACCACCCCCTTACAAGTTAATTTAACGTTTAATATATATTAGCTAACCACCCCCTATTCTGAAATGTTTATATAAGCTGACAACCCCCTATTGTAAATGCTGTATTCGCCCCTGCTACTTTGTAATACAGCTCGCGAATAGTATCTTCAGATCCCGAGAAGGGATCTTGAAAAATTTGTCCGTTAATGAATTTAGAACCAAATCAATTGGTTTCTTTCTTTTTTCTCGTACAGGTGTCTCGAACAAACCGCGGCTAAGAATGAGCAATTCAATGTTTTCACATTGAATTAATAGATTAAGCAATAGTCCGATTTTCCAAATCCCAGTAAATGGGATGATAGAATCACGATTAAAAGTGGAAAAAGTGGGAGTCATTTCTCTCAGGTCCCGTTTAGGTACCTTGAGAAAATCTAGAAATTTTGACTGTTTGACACTGTTTTGACTAGCTACGTCAAGCGATAGAACCTCCTCAAAGAAAGGAACAAAAACTTGAAATATTTTCCTAGTTTTCTCTAGCTCTTGTTCCCCGGCAGAAAAACTAAATCGAACTTCAACTATCTATATTTTAATAGTGCCGCCATATTTTATAATAAATTACATAAATCGTCATTATACATAACATTTATGAAGTTAGTTTTACTTACTTTGCAATGATATTTCCTAATGGTAAGACTATAATTAGTATCGTGAAAAATGCAGCAATGAAGACGATAATAGATTGAATGTGCAAAGTTCAAATTACATCCACCGCAATCTAAAACAATTTAAAAATGATCTATATATAGAATACTTCAATAAAAAAATATGTAGAGGTAATAAAGTAGAGGTTGCAAGCTTTAATTTAACCCAGGCGCGAAAGACAAATGCTGACGATGGGTTGAAGCTTGATTGAGTCTTGAACGCCCAGCGTGGGTAACCCAGAGTTGAAGCAGTCTGTGTATCATTGTCACTCAATATTGGTTCAGCATTGAACACCAATGTTCGTCCCGTGCTCGATTCAAGACTCGGTCAATGTTCGTGAGTGAAGCTTGAACGTCTAATCTTAATTGAAGCCTGAATCAATATTGATAGTTTATTCATTTCCGTGTGTACTTAACAATATTAAATATAAATATTTATAAATTATTTAATATTAAAATATTTTTATGATAATTTTGCATACTATTTAAAAACTATTATTATTATTATTATTATTATTATTATTATTATTATTATTATTATTATTATTATTATTATTATTATTGCTTCCTCGTGAGGAAGCTTTGTAGTCGTTTAATTTCCAAAATTTTTAAAAATCCTTTTAACAAATTTTCTTCTATATAGGACTATGTTATATAAGACCCTAAACAATTGTCCGGATGTATGTATGGATGTGTGTATGTGTGTGTGTGTGTGGATCCCGATTTTTGTGAACACGATAAATCATAAAAATATCTCGAAATGTATTGATAGACTTTAAAAAATTCTCAGAAAAAATTTTTTTTTTGACTTTTTTCTAAAAAAAATTTTTTTTCAAAATAAATTTTTTAAGTTGGTTATTGAAGGTAATATATAATAAAATATTATTCTTTGCATCAAGACGAATCGATTGGTATATAAAAAGTATAAATTGTATGAGAATTTACAGAGTTAATCACAATTAAAGCTGAAAAATTCGCATTTTTATTAAAAAATGAGTTCTTTCCGCAAAATTATGTTGCTATATAAAAAAATCTTAATCATTTAATTCTAAAATCTTATTCTTTGCATCAAGACGGATCGATTGGTATATATAAAATATAATTGTATTTAAATTTATAGAATTAAAACCAATTATAGACAAAACAATTTGCTCTTTTAAAAAATTCTTTTTTTCTTTAAAATCATGTTGCTGTACAATAAAATGTTATTATTTATTGAAAAATAAATCAAAAATCTTATTCTTTGCATCAAGACGAATCGATTCATGTATATAAAGTATATATTCTATTGAAAATTATAGAATTAATTACAATTAAAGGTGAAAAATCCACTTTTTTACTAACATTTTGTTTGTTTATTTAGATTCATATTACTGTATAATTCGTCTATTAAGACGAATGAACTTTATTTTATAAATGTTAAATTGTATAAAAAAAGATTTAAAAATGAAATATAGGTACTTATCGTTAATGCTTCCTCAACGAGGAAGCAAATTTTTTTTTGCTGATCGTAAAGAGGAAGCAAAATGTTCATATAATGAACATCTGGATTTACAACTTGTTATTATTATTATTAAATAATATAATAAGTATTACGTTATTAATTATTGTTATTATTATTAAGATATCAATTTGTAAATAAATCTTAATATTTATTTAGTGTATAATATTTAGATTAATTATATAAGATTCATATAAATAAAGTTAAATTATATAGGGGAGAGTTGTTAGGGTTAGGCATAGTTTTGACTTTTCTTCATAACTTCCCCTGTAGAACGAATTTCGCGATTTTGCGCATATTGTTGGAAAGATCAAATCAAATGCAATGTTTTTGCTGAACATTGTAAAAAAATTTGACCAAAAGATTCGGAGTTATAAGCAATTTAAAAAAAAATGTTGCCAGGGTTGAACATGGTTGCCAGAGTTGAGCCACTGTAGAAAATCAATGAAATATTTAGGTAAATGATTAAAAATTACCTTCAAATGATAGAATGACACTTGGGAATGAGAAAAGGAACCATGAAATTAAAATAAAATCCCATATTATGCATTTTCATATAACTTTAGATAATTTATTTCTCATGAACAAAATTGAAAAATTGAAAAAAGGTTATCAAAAAATTTGTTTTACTTTCTTTCCAATGGAAATGCAGTTTTTAACACCTCTTTAAGTGAAAAAAATGAATTTCTGTTGCAAGTACGCTTTGTAATTGCAAAATTTCGGGTGGCTCAACTCTAACAACCGCTCATGGCTCAACACTAACACACGCGTCGTTTTGCGTCATATCGCACAGAACACAGACGCGTGACACAAACACCAAATTACGTTACACATTTTCACATATCATCTTAATGAACAATTTCTGTAAACTTATTTACACATTTCTTCTACATTTAGTTCTCTTCTTTTGACACCCAAAAAAGTTTTTGCTGAGCCTATATTACTAAGTGGCACAATACTTAAGTATGCGTTTGTATATTTAACTGCGACTCATATGAATAGATGGCTGACATTAGTAGCAAGAATTTACGTAAAAAGATAGATGGCGCTAGTGCAATAAAACAAAATAAATGCGGTGGCTCAACCCTAAACCCTGCCTAACCCTGACAACTCTCCCCTATTATTTTTTTTGCACAGTATCAAATTATTATTTTCAAAGTTCAAGAGGTTCGTTTATCTAAACAATTTTCAGTGAAAAAAATGTTCATTAGGGTGTAATAAATATTTATGCCTAGTAGTTTTACTCTAGGATTATCTGTTTAGTAAATATTATCAAAAAACTATTTTTTGTCAAACGCGCGCGACTAAACACAAATAACCTTGAGACTTTAGCATTGCCAACTCAAGAGTTTAACGTATGTGTTGAGTTAGTAATGCTAAGTTTCAAGGTTATTTGTGTTTAGTCGAGCGCGTTTGACAAAAAATAGTTTTTTGATAATATTTACTAAACAGTTAATCCCAGTGTAAAACTACTAGGCATAAATATTTATTACTACCTAATGAACATTTTATCGTTGCAAATTTTTCAGATAAACGAAACCCTTGAACTTTGAAAATAATAATTTGACACTGTGCAAGAAAAAAAATAACATGTAATTTAACTTATAAAATTATCATAAAAAATATTTTAATATTAAATAATTTATAAATATATTTATATTTAATATTGTTCAGTGCACACGGTAATAAAGAAACTGAATATTGTATCAAGATTGACCAAGTCTTGAATCGAGCATGGGACAAACATTTGTGTCCCATGATGAACCAATATTGAGTGACAGTGATATACAGAATATACGACACTGGCATTGATATAGTAGATTAGGCGAGATGCTTTCCAGCCTTCTGTGGCCGAGCGGTTTCAATACGTGCGTTAAAGACTTCCGGTATGCGTTAGGGGCGCGGGGGGCGTGAGTTCGATCCCACATGCGAGCGAATATTTTTCATTCTTTGTTTTAAGCGTTATATAAAATAATAAAATTGGGTGTTGTGTTGTGAATAAAAACTGTGAACATGTTTGTAAATAATATTAAAAGTCTGTTAAAAAATCAAGAAAAAAATGTTAACGATAAACAGAAAAATTGTCTTTTTTTACTAAAATTATTTTTTTAATATTACTATTCAAATGATATTTATTGTTAAATATATTACTATTTATATGAAAATAATATAATTGAACTCCTTGATGCAAGAACCAGACGCAACCCATTTAATTTCAATGGTCTATGTCTGGTTCTTGCATCAAGGGGTTTAATTATTAAAATAGTAACTTATTGCCATTAAATTTATACACGCATATAATATGAATAAAAGTAATAATAATAATATTTATTATTATTATATACAATTCATATGTATCCATATTATACTGAATGAGCGCGAGAGACGCGTAAATTTAGGAACAGTGGAAGCACCATTGTTTCAGTCCTGCATTAGGGTTCCGCAGCATTGATTGAAGATTTAACGCCAATCTTCAACAAGGACTGGAGCGTCAGACTTAAATAAGTGTTACATTATGGCTAAATGTCAGTTCTCACCTGGGGTCCTATTTTGATTTTTTTCGTTAAAATTAAAAATGGACAGGTAGGGGGTAAAATTTGACAAAGAATGCCCCATATATATATCATATATTTTTAAAAAATATTTACTTGTTTTATCTATTTTGTTCTTCCTCGTCCAAGTTGTAGATTGCGAATCAGCCCAGTACGTTAACTCCATTCCAGGTGTAATATTTTGAGTTGTAACTAAATGTAATTCACCCCGTTTAGTAATAACCGTTATATTTCTTTCCCCTTTGGATTCAGATGGTCTAATGTAACGAATCCAATTACTTTTCAATGGGTTTGTGGTACTTATATAAGAAATTTTGCCAGCATCTTCAATCTATAAAAATTTTATAAAAATCAATTCAGTTCTAAATAAATACTTTCAATGCAGTTGTTATATAGAGTAGACTGCGGCGAGATCATCATTTAGCTTTTGATTTCGTAATTTATGACTTATAAATTTGATAATCAAGAGATTAGAAGTTTCATCTATAGAATAAAATGTAGCGTAAGTACCAATCTTTAAAACCTTTTTCGTTTTTGTCTTTATTGACTCTGAATTCGGAGCTCCAGTTCAAAAAATGAAAAAGTAGTGACCTTGCCTTAGTCTATTCTACACATAAAAACAATATTTTAATGTTGTTAATGCATAATGCTAATATTTTGATAATTCAGTTTTATTCAATTCAAACATATGTGACTCTCTACGGTAGACACCTAAGGGTGTGTTTTAAATTCCACCCGAGAGTTCCCGAGTGCACCTCAAAAGAGTTCAGGAGTGCTATTCTCGAAACCGCACGAACATGGTTCGTATACGAGCAAATTCAATTAGCAATTTTTGTATACAAATCTTAAGTCTTATTCTCAAGCATCACACGAAAAATCGTTCGTCGAATGCCCTGTTCCTGTATCCGTATTCATTCTTGTGTTAGCTTTTATGGTGACTTTCTTATAAATGTCTGAATGAACAAATGAAATTACTTCTGCATAATATTGTTAATAGTATGAGCTACTCATGACTGACCACAAGTAGTAAGGGTTAATGACGCTTATTCATGTGAATTTATGGCTACCTCAGGTGTCCCGCAGGGTTCAAATCTTGGTCCGCTTTTATATTTAATTGATATTAATAAGATCAAGAATATTTTTCAGTTTTGTTTCTATTTACTTTTTGCGGATGACCTAAAACTTTTCTTGGTTATAAATAGTTTTGATGATTGTTTAAATTTTCAGGAAGATTTAAAACAACCTTAATGATTGGTGCCAGCAAAATTCTATTTTTTAAATGCTTCTAAGTGCTCTACTATGACTTTTTCTAAGAAAAAGGTTACATTAGCTTGCGATTATACTATAAACAATATTTCCCTTTTGAGGGAAATTTTATATTACACGTTTGTTATGTCGTCTATGATGTTTGTGTCACATACTGCAGTGTACACTAGGGTGTCCCAAAAAAATAAAAAGTTTTTTTTATTGGGTCTCATCCCCTAAAATCCTTTCAAATTGTGTAAAAATAAGAACACAATATTTGGAAATAAAAAATTTTAATATTAACCCGTGGTTCAGACCCTTTGAACCATAAAAACGCTAAAAATTTAGTGTTTTTTCATTTTTATTATAAATATAAATGTCAAAATATAATGAATAGGGTGTCATTGTAAAGATAATTAAATTACCTTTCGATACATATGTCACAGTATAAGATTTAATGAAAATTAAGAGTGTTACAGTCGTTTAAAGATCAAATTTCATGGAAATTTTGATGATTTTTAGACACTTAAGTAACTTGTGACTGTCCACGAGAAAACAGGGCTTAGGTCCAAAAAATAAATTTTGAGTTTTTTATGGTAATCGACAGATTTTATGTTGCTTTTTCAAATTCAAAAGTCAAAAGTTAAAAATATCAATTATTTTCGACAATATATCGTTTTAAAGCTGGGTATGTCAAGCGTAGTTAACTTCAATCGTAGTACTTCAATCGCTCGCCCTGTGAAATTCACGTTTGGGAGCTAAGCCCTGTTTTCTCGTGGACAGTCACAATTATATTCTGTTCACAGTGAGAGAAAGAGAGGGAAGGAGGTATTGTCTCTCCTTTTAGTTTAGAGTAGGAGCGAAAGAGAGACGAATAGTTAAGAAAGTAATGCCTACTTTTTGGGTTTAGAAGGGGATATCATGTTTTCACCATTTTCCGTCTCAGGTAGAAAGAGAGGAACAGAATTTGATAGGGGAAGGAAAAGTGGGGAATTTCACTTTCAAGCCAAAATACGAAAAGGGCGTCTTATTTCCTTATTGGCTAATTATTTTTCTTTTCTCACTCACAGATATATTAAGGAGTGAAAGAGAGGGAGATCGAGAACGAGATATGAGTGAGAGGTAAAAATTTATTCGTTGTTCCATAAACCAAATGGACAATTTTTCACCAATTTTTGACCCTCCGGTTGTGAACAATCGCAAATATTTTTAAAAACTAATTCGTATAATTATTCGACGCCTCCCGTTCATATAATGCTTATTGAAAAACAAATGCAAGATCATTCTTATTCAGTTTTTAGTGCAAGACAATTCTTATTCGATTTTCCGTGCAATAAAATGCTTATTCAAAATTGTGTGCAAAACAATTGCCACTGACAGAACAATAAATGTAACCCTAAATCATCTTTTTAATATTAAATTGCAATTAAATATCTGAGAATTTCAGTGCGTATCTATTGTTATTAGAAAATTTAATACTTGATTATCTCTTACGTACTAAGAAATATTGTTTAAGCAATTGTAATTAAAAATTATATTCAATTGAAAATTTTATAAAACTCATAGTGTAAGCTAATTTCAGATTGTACTTTTTAGCATAGAATTTTGAATAAGCATTTTATTGCACGGAAAATCGAATAAGAATTGTCTTGCACTAGAAACTGAATAAGAATGATCTTGCATTTGTTTTTCAATAAGCATTATATGAACAGGAGGCGTCGTATTTAAGATTCAATTATCTCACAGGCCGACAAAATTTCATCAATTGCATGTTGCCTGAAATGTTATTGCCGATTCTTATAATATTTTGTCCGTAGAATCCAAATTTGACCTTGAAAATATTGGATTGGCTCTAGTTTTTAGGCAACTTACGTTTCAATACGCAAAATACGCATTTTTCGCATTTTTTGAATGAATGTAAAACCAAATACTGAAACAGTGAATTTGTCCGCATAGAACCAAATTAAAGATTAAATACTGGTCTTAAATATCCAAAAACAAAAAATTTAATTTAAATACAATTTAACCTTTAATGTCCAATGGGACATACGCTGTTCCATAAACGTATTGAAAATAACATTACTTTTGACCAGGTAAGGCAATTTAAGTAAAAATTAGTCTCTCTGAAGGTTTTTGTGGTCGCTGCTTATAAATCTGCTATGAAATATAAAAATTAAAAATTTCGAACTAATTTTTAAAAATAGTTTACACCTTTATGATAAAAATGTCAAATAAAAAAAAATTCGCCATATTAAATCCGCCATTTTCAATATTACAATCTGAATACGGATTTCTACGCAGCGACTACAAATACCCCAAGAGAGACAAATTTTTACTTAAATTGTCTTACCTGGTCAAAAGTAATGTTATTTTCAATACGTTTATGAAACAGCGTATGTTCCATTGGACATTAAAGGTTAAAGTGTATATAAATTAAATTTTTTGTTTTTGGATATTAAAGAGCAGTATTTAAGCTGAAATTTGGTCCTATGCAGACAGATTTACTGTTTCGGTATTTGGTTTTACATTCATTCAAAAAATGCCAAAAATGCGTATTTTACGTATTGAAACGTAAGTTGCCTAAAAACTAGAGCCAATCCAATATTTTCAAGGTCAAATTCGTCTTCTACGGACAAAATCCTATAAGAATTGGCTTCTATTGGTTGGGAAACAAAATTTTGTTGGCCTGTGTCTTCGAACAATGTAAATAAAAATTTATGAATATTTACTTTTTGGACTTATTGAATTTTTTGAGAAATTATGGTCCTACTTATGATTAAAATTCTCGAAAAATTTGATCATTTTTATTAATATTTTTTAATACAAATTATATTATTTTTAAAAGATTTTACCAAATTTTAATTGTTTTCTTTAAAAGAGTTTTTGTATAATTAAAAAAAACTAATTAATTTTTTGATGAATAGCAATTACAATTTTGAATATAAATGTTTTTTTCCAAAATGTTAAAAATAATTCTAAAATATTATTTTTGTATGTATTTAGATTTTTGGAAATATAAATTGAAAATATTGAAAATTATAACAAAATACTTAAAAGAAATTAATTATTTTTCAATTAAATTTTACAAAATTTAAACTATTCAAAAAAATGTTATTATACATATATTTCAAAAATTTAATTATGCCTTAAAAAAGGATTCAAAAACAATTTTTAATAATTTGTTTATAGTTACTTTTCGCATTATCAAAATCAAAATAACTTGCCCTTTTTTACTAAAAAATTGTGGTATTTTGATATTTGAAGTTTGAAGGAAAAGACGAAAAAGTGGCAATTTTTTAAAGTAAGTCGAAAAAAGTCTCAATTTTGTTAATTTCTCTGAGAAATTTTTTTTATGACATTTCCATGTCTATGGTGTTAATATACAGTGGGGCAAACCAGACATACTAACGGTTTTTTACTCTTGTGACTAAATGAATCAACCGATTTCATTTTTCGATGTGTTGTTTAAAAGTTCATTTAATTGTGCAACTTTTTTCCAGAGACACCTATACTTTATCTTTCATTGTTTAGTTGCTGCGTTAACTTAAAAAAATTTTGCCAACTGACCGGTTTGACCCACCCCCTGGGGTAAACCGAACAGTTAGGTTTCTTATCTATAATATTGCATTTGTATAATCTACTATAACAACAAACATAAAGAATCATGTGAACAATGGTTGTAATAATGTTAATAATAATACAGGATTGGATTTTAATTAAATAAATAATTTTTTAATAACAAACAAAAATGTTTGAAATTATCAAGGAAACAGTATTAAAGGGTCTAATTCTCATTGCCCCGTGCAGAAATTAAAATGTGGGCCTGATAGGGTACTAGACAGTTTTCCCGATCTCTGGTGTGGCTCTGGGTAGAGAAACTGACCAGTGCCCGACTAGTGTGTGACGCTGTTCCCGACCAATGCCCTACTTAGGGAAAAACTGGTCAGGGCCTTGTCAGTTTTTCTTAAAATTGCCCTATTTTGTGAGGTTAATTTTATTCAAAAGAAATTACAATAAAATTACTGTAATTAAAAATATTATTATATTAGAAACATAATGAACACAACATATTTATACATAACATAA